GAGAAGCATCTACTCACAAGAAGAGGACTACCCAAGTGGTAAGAAACCAGACGAAAGAGTTAGGATTCAAGTCTGTTTTCCAATCATGGTAGAGGAATTGTGGGCAAAGACATTTTTATAAATTCAAAAATCAACACTGTTTACTTTGCTTTAAGAAACTTTTTCAAACTAACAGGAAATAGTATTATTTTCATTTCTCTACCAACAGAATATAGGGAAAAAAATACATGAACTCTTAGTGTGTCCTGGTTTTCATTTCAAGAAGAGTTACTAGTCATCTATACAACAATGTACCATTTTGGTGGACTCTATTCTGGGCTCGGTGAAGGAGCTAGGATGTGTGGATGCTCTGTCATTGCCCTTGAGAATCATAGTACCCTGGAAGTAAGACAAGAGGAAACAGATCACATGATACTAGAGGTCATACTGTACAGCTGTATTAAACAGGAATTTGGGAAGAAATCTGGGAACCCTGAGCTCCCATATATTGGCAGTTTTGTCAAAACCTCGAGTTGAGTAGATCAAAACAATTTATCAAAGGTTTTTTTAAAAAAATAATTATTACATGATTATCATTTCTTCAAGGTTTATGTTTAGCTTTAAAAGAGAACACAAGAGCTATTATTTGTCAGGGGAAATGGGCAACATAAACTCCTACACCTTTTGCTCAAATGGTCCCAGTGAGATGAAGGCTTCATTTGCTGTCCTTTTGGGTTTTCTTTATAACCCCTGTGGGAACCATGGTCACTGCTGTGTGAGGTGGCCATTAGACATCCGGAAATAAAGTCTATCCTGGAGCAGACTTAGTTTGAGGGGAAACAGATGCACACTTTTCTGCTTTCTGTTGCTGGGACGACATTCTGCTAATGCTTCCTCGGGTAATAAGAGGGAGAAGTAACCTGGCTCTTTCAAACTAGGATTTGGATGATTAAAATTTGTTGAGCTGATGAAAGATCATATACACACCTGCTCCTAACATTACACCAAACTGATCTATATCTTAATATGAAAAAAGTAGTTTTTAAGACTACAGCACATCAAAAAAATAGGATCACATTCCTTCTAAGGTGTACAGACTAAGTTATTTTATTGGTGAATTAGGAAACACATATTTCTGTTTTGTCCCGTCTTTGAAGCTGTTATCCTTCAGCTTTCAAGGCCTATTTTTGCAGAGTCACAGCACTTTTTGAGCACACCCAAAAGACGTGTTTCATGAGATATGGACAATGGTGCAATACCAAGATGTCTCTGGCCTTCAGTTTTGAAATAGAGCTCTAGCTTAGAAATATTCGACAGGAACCAGCAATGTTGGAAAGCACTTCATTTTAAATTAGTGGCGCTTCTTCTTAAAGAACCACAAGAAGAAACTATTGAATATTACTGCACATTTTTTTCTGAACTTGTTAATTTATGCACCTGTACTTTTTTTTAGTTCAGGGTAAACATATACCATTTTCTACTTTCTTACTTAAAAGTAACTTATACACACATTTACATGTGTAAGCAAAGTCCATATACTTGTAATTTTTCATGGCTATGTAATAGTCTATTTTGTTAATACACTAACAAGTAAATTACTACTGACACATGAACATTACTGAGTTGTTCAACGTTTGGGCTATTTTCTTTTTGCTATTAGCTGTTGCTATGAATATATGAAATAAATTCTAAAAAAATTACAAATTGCTCTTTTATTTTTTTACTGGAGCGCATTCTTCAAAATGGAAATACTGAGCCAAAATGTATGGGCAAATCTGTGAATTTGGGGATACATTGCTCTACTGTTTTCAAGGAAATTTACAGTTACTAACAATGTACAAGTATTATTTTTTTGTTATGCCTTATCTATTTTCTATCAATATAATGGTTATATTGAGGGAACAAGACTCATAAGATACAATTAAAAATAACTTTGGTTAGGTCTCCTATGTCCTTTCAAATGTACTCTGTGGAAGTATTTCTCCTGTTGTTCCCCTGTCAAAACCTGGGTAGACCTCATCACTATTCTGGTCACTATTAGGTAATACAAATGGTTCTCCTGTTAGTAATTAAAATATCTACCAATGCAATCATCAAAATTTCCATTCTGATTTTAATTTGATGCTGTACTCCCTCTCCCATCTGGAATCAGGAGGGGGTGGTCAACTTCTCCCCCAACCCCACACAAAGCATTTAAAGCATTTGAAACAATGTCTGACACATGGTAAATGCTTAATAAATGTTGTGTTAACATATCACTATCCAAATGTTTGTGTTTAAAACAAATTTAAATGGTAAAATATTTATTGAATGCATAGTAGTACTATGGTGCTGTGGTAATAAAAAAGAAAACATTTCTAACCTTGTTTCTGCTAAGACCTTAAAATCTAAGGCACACAATGCCAATGCCCACATTTATGCAGGCAACAAAATGAAACAAGTCAATTATTATAATCACAACCAGGTCACTGAAGAGAATAGACAGTTTAGGAAGGTTTATGAATTCAGAAAGTGCCTGGTGTTAGAGAAGAATCTTTTCGAAGAGAATGTGTCATAGAATTGTCAAAACTTTCTGGGTCTAAAAGTCAACAGAATCAGAGATTCTGAAAAGTGATGCTATGCTACTTTGGTTAAACGTGTCTAATATCCAAAAAATAATGACTTTTTACTTTGAGGAAATTTTTTTCAGGTAAATTGCATACATCGTAGCTGGCACTTAAGAGTTACACAATACTTAATTTGTATGTTGGTTCTATTATTAGCTGTTACCTACAAATGGCAAGAATTTTATAACATTCTGAATCTCCACCTGCTTTCCAACTAATCCTCTAAGAGGGGAAAGAGGGTAAGTCAGAATTATTAGAGGGTGGGGCTTTTTTTTCAAATTACAGGTGCCCACAGTGAGTCGTTTGGTTGGGTATATAAACAAATGATGAAAATCAGTAGATTAGTTCCTTTTGTCATTGAGATCAAATTTTTTTAACCCTATTGTCTTCAAAACAACCCTACTTTTTCAATTTTATCTCAAGTAACATTTTAAAACTACTGATGAGAAGTGAAAGGTTAAAAGGCAACTGATTTCTTTTTGTACATCTACTCAGTGAAAAAGCATATCATGACATTGTAATATTATTATATCATTATATTATCATTATATTTTAATATTCCAGTGACGAAGGAATACTGGCTCTTCTATTTCGCATGACAAAAATGAGATGGCCAAAAGAAACCTAGGAACATTTTTTAAAGGCTAAATGTTTCCACAGGACATTTAAAGTGGATTGGCTCTTGAACTCTATGCTGCCTTGCTGGTAGCAAGTAAGGAAGAATTTGTCAGAGGTGACTTTAAGGAGAGCTGCCATTTATCGAACACTTCCTTGGTGATGGGCACCCTAAGTACCTCATTTCACATAAATCTCAAAACGTTTATGCAAGGCAGTTATTCTTATCCTCACATTACAGATAAGGAAACCAAAGTTACATGAATAAATAGCAAGGGTTCAGACTCCAGCTACAAAATTAATTATCTTTCCAGACCATACCGGACTAAACCTTTATGCTATTACTACATTTAATGCCATTTTAAATATTAAGAAAATCTTCACGAAATAAGAAGCAAGTTTTGTGAAGCCTCACAGGAGTTACAAAAATGAATTAAAGTCCCTGCTTTCACCGAATTACAGTTAAGAAGGGATGGAATTCAGATCATAGTAGATGCTACAAAATCTGTACAAGCGCTGTGAGAGTTCAGAGGACATGTTTAAATTTAGAGGCTGCAATTGGTTTATCAGTTGCTAGTGCATATATTCTAGCTAAACAGAGTTGGAGGCATAAGCATATTAGAACTGGGTTAACACAATAACAGGCCTGTGCATCATATTGTGTAGAAATTTGTGTTCGTTTTTGCTTGGGTGATATTTGGCTCTTCGGAGTTTCTTTGTGAGAAATTTGCTACATTTGATAAGACAAATGCTTAGAAGAAACTGAAAGGTTCTTACTTGATTACTATATATTAATATTACCAAAATATCCCTTTCACCATGCCATTCCTTGGCTCCCCAAATTCGCCCTTCATAAAGTCGCTCATCTTTCTCCACTCACTTTCTCCCTAGTTTAGATCCTTTACTCCTATCTATACCAGCAAACACCTAGGCCTGAAGAATAAATTTTCTAATCATTTCCACCTCCCACTTCAGTCCCAAATTTTAAGAAATTCAGCATGAAACATTCATGGGGTTATGTTGGATTCTTTGTAACATTTTTTGCCATAATTTTATGCTGATTTAATTACAGAAATAAGAAGAGAGTTAAGGTCAATTTCTTCCTAAAAACATTAAATTTAAATGTGAAAAGTCCATAGAGAGAAGTAATGAGAAATTGACTAGAAAAGTTCAAGGAAGTTAAAGCAATTCATGCTTTAACTATTCTCTGAATTTTCTAGCTCTGGTGGAGATGACACAGTCATTCTAACCTCTTATTGTCTTTGACTTGTAAATTACTTTAGAGACAAGGTTGGTCTCATGCTCTCTCTTGGTTCAACGTTTTATTTTCATTGAAAAAAGTACATTTAAAGTTGCCTTGGTGCTTGGGTCATTCATTTGATTAAATTAACCCATTGACACTGTTAAAATTACTTTTAAAAAATATATAGCAATAGAAATGTTCTGTTCTTATTCCTTATTTTAAATAGTCAATTTAGTAGAAGAACACTCTGAACATACACGTAGGTTAAGATTTAGATTTTTTAATTTATTAAAAAATAAACTTAAGTTGTCAAGCCCAAATATGTACATAATATTATTTACTTAACTTTCTTACAAAAAGGGAAAGCCAGATGGGCTTTTGTTAATTTGGCAGTAGAATATCACAAGAAGGCACTTTGTTTTTACCTTGCTTTTTAAGTTTCACTATAAATGACTGACATCTGTATAGTAATAAAGCCTTAGTCTCTTATATCTAGAAGTTTCTTTTAGATTATTTAAACCAATTTCCAAAGCTTTATTAATAAGAGAAACTAGGACTGGATGGATTAAAGAATTTAATTGAGAATACAGAGTGACCTATTAAAATATTCACCTGTATGTCAAGTTTGCACATCTTCTTGTATTTATGGAGTTAAGTTTCTTTTGCAAGGAAAAGTCATCAATAGTTTTCTTTCTCAGGATACTCTAACCACTTCCATAAATAAGTCTTTAGTGGAACACGGTGAATGCATCAGTGAGTGCTGTGAAGGGTCCTGTCAGACCAACTATTTTAAATGGGCCATTTATCCATATGTAATGTTTCATTTTTTTTAAATAGGAAAAATTTTTGTATTGATTTATGCATTAAAGGATGAATGTGGGTGTCATTTTATATATCCATGTCTACATCTTTATCTAAGTATATACATATATGTATGTATGAAAGGCATTTCCAAGAGCAAGCTTTATCAATGTGACTAAAATACCATCATCATTAGTGTAATACCATATCTTGCCTCTTCAGCAATGGGGGAAATGATAAGATTTTAGTGTTCCCCTAATTTACTCAATACAATAAAAATAGACTTAGAAGTTTAGAATGAGAAGAGAAGAGAACTTAGATTTCCTCTAGATATTACAAGCCTTTCATTTGACAACACAATCTTTAAAACACAATAGAATAGAATAAGTCAGTCTTAAAGAACTGCAGATGAAGCCCACTGAAGTTTTGGACCAGAACTGCAAATCAATTAATTATAAAAAATTATGCTGGGGCTGGCCTGGTGGCTCAGTAGTTAAGTGCACACGTTCCACTTTGGTGGCCCAGGGTTCGCCGGTTCGGATCCTGGGTGCGGCCATGGCACTGCTTGGCAAGCCATGCTGTGGCAGGTGTCCCACATATAAAGTAGAGGGAGATGGGCATGGATCTTAGCTCAGGGCCAGTCTTCCTCAGCAAAAAAGAGGAGGATTGGCAGCAGATGTTAGCTCAGGGCTGATCTTCCTCAAAACAAAAAAAAAAAAAGGAAAAAAAAATTATGCTAACACACAAAAGCAAGAATGAAAGGAAATATTTGGTCTTCATTTTGAAATATTACTGAATAGAGACGTATTTCATCATTGAGTCATTGGACTCATGATGAAATTTTCATCCTGAAATTGTATAACTTGTGAAGGTATACAATTATTGGAGTGTCTAATTTACATGTTTATTTTTCACTTGACTGAAGTCTTGTGTCTTTATGTTCTTCCAAAAACTGGCTTGGTGAGCAGATTCTCATTGACTATTTCCTGTAAAAGGATTATAGAGAAAAAAATACAAAACATTAGTATGAGACAATTATATTTAAATACAACAGGAAATTAATGCATAAACTAAATTTCAAGATTCTACATTCTAACAGAGTTGTCCTTGAATATAATTGTTAAGAAATTAAAGGAATTTCCTTTTACATTAGCTCTGAGAGTTATGTGATAAGAAAGATACAGAATTTCTTAGAAATCTATTCCAAAAGCCTTAGATAAGGAACAAACATGATTGCTCTGCTCTTAGTTTCTACAGAGATGAGAAACTAACAGAGAACTTACGTAGGTGCAGATTATAGTGAGAAATGAGTTGAATTACATATGTGTACTTGAATTTAAGTCAAGCTCCCTAGATTGTAATTTCTTTTAGGGATAACTTTTTTTCTTGGACGTAAGCAAGGGGAAGTCTGTACAGAAACTCACTGCTAAAGTCCTCTCTGATTCTAGCATGTACAAGGGCGCTGGACTGGTCTCCCCCACCAATGCAACACCCCACCATTCTTGGTTGGAAGGTTGGATTTATGTTACTCTCAGAGAGTGTGTGAAAAGGATGGGGAGATCCTTTGCTCTTACGGAAGCAGAGAACTTTCCACAGTTTTCTTCTATTTGGAAATCACAGGAACTGTGCATCCCAGACATTCTCCCGTGAGAAATGGGCAGGCAGGGGTCATATGTGACTGATAGCATGGGCAGCTAAGACTCACTTATTTTCATTTTCTACCAAGCATTAACCATGTGCAAGTTGAAGGAGGTTAAAACAATTCATACTATATACTTTAACATTTCTACTTCTTGCTGAGATGCCGCGATCACTCTAATCTCTTATTATGCCTTTGACTTGTAAATTACTTTAGAGCAGTATTCTATAAAGATAGGATTAAAACACTTTTTGGTAACCTTATGTGTTTCCCAAAATTCCCTGTGAGATGAGGTCAGATTTTGTAACCCATTTTACTAGCTTAATGAGACTCATTTTAATAACTTTATTTGCATAAATATGGGGAAATGAAATAAACCTAAAATTTGGTTCATCTGACTTTCCACTGCCTTTACGTATACTTGAGATGTGAACAGAGAACTGAAGTCTTAATCTTGCTAATGTGGAAATGCACATGATTCCTTGGGTACACCATATTCCATCTTCTTCCATGCCTGTGCTCATGATGCCCTTCTGCCTGGAACTGATTTGCTCTGGGTAACATCGATATTCTTTAAGACTGACCTCTGGTTCTGTCTCCAGAAGCCTTTGCTACCTGCCCTAGTCTCTTTTAGATACTATTGCCTCTGCTACCCTAAAACTTGTTCATTGCAATGACCGCATTCTATCTGTTTCCCCCACTAGACTCTCAGTATCTAAAGGGCAGAGACCTACATTGGTATATCTAATGTGATTGTGGTGCCCAGCTCACAGTAGGCATTTAATAAATGTTTGTTGCACTTAAACTTACAAGGATATTTTAACACATTTTGGTGGATTAAATTGTCCTAAACTTTTGTGAGCTACTCTACAGAGAGGCTCAAGATGGTATGAAAAAAAAATGGCAGAGGAAATGCTACACACTAAATTTGTCACCAGAAAAAATTGGTAGTTAAAAGCATAGAGAAATTTAGGTAACAAAAAATTAGACTTTGAGTGGTAATTGCTCCATTTTAACAACTCCTCAAAGCAACGTTTTTGAAACAATTCAGAATATTGATTAAAAAATACTTTACAATATTTGTTCCAGCTCCAAGTCCTACAACAAGGTACCCTTAGTAAATGAAGTAAATCTGGTACACGACTCACAACTTTTGTTGTTTTAAGTATCTGCAGATTGGGTTTGATTAATCCTTTTAGCTGAGAATTATGAATAACGCCATTCACTCTACAGAGCACGAACTTCGTAGAACTAAGTAATTACGTAACAATCATCATTAAGCTTTAAGAACCCACGAGATACCATGATGAGGCAAATCCAGCAAAAGGTTATGTAGCTGGGGTGGATCTTTAAAACTCTCTATTTTCTATGATCTCAAAGTCTAGAAAACCTAGCAGGGAGGGCCTTTGAAGATGGGTGATCGGTCCAGGGTTAAAAACTGAATCAGGAAATTTACAGAACCTCAGTTCTGTTTTGATTTTGGATAATCATGGGAAAAGCTTCAGTCAGTTTGTAGCAGGCAAAGTCAGGTCCCTTAAAGCCTGAACACTAAAGCATCCACAGAGACTGGTTCTTGGGGCACATCTGCCAAGATAGATTTTACTTGGGTTTATGCTTCAGGCAAAGTTTAATAGAAACTATATGCTCAATTAGTGAGGTTACAGAAGAGGCCACATGAACAAAATAAATGAAACTGGCTAGGTCTTTAAACAGATAGTAGAGGCAGGGACCACCATTCAGCTTTGATGAATTGTTCTCATATTGTTAAGGAGGCTCCAGCATTGTTAGGGTTTCCAATTTTTTCTGTAAGGGAGTACTGATATTTGGATATTTTTTAATGTAGAAATCTCCCACTTTTTAAGGTTGGCAATAAACACTCTTTTTAAAAAACACGGCCTAGGTCAATACTGTTCTGTGAGAACAAAATACACCGGCAGTCTTCCACAGGTTGTGTATTTACTTAGCACCTGGGAGGGGAAATGAAAACAGGGACCAATTGACTGGCCGCATTGTGCAGAGGAGGTCATTTGGGAATGGAACCTACAATATAGATAATAGCTAACAGACATGAGCACTTACTATGGCCAAGAGTTGTTCTAGACACTTTACTTGTAGCTCATTTAATCCCCAGGGAACTCTATGAGGTTGACACTATCATTATGCCCATATTAAATTATCTCCACATTAACTATCGTTATCTCCATATGAGTGGCTCAAAGTTGCAAGAGTTGGATTACGGATTCAAATCCAGGTCTGGATTCAGATCTGGGGGTGTTAAACTATATCCATTTTGCAGTTTGGAAAATAAGAAGTGCACGAAAGAGCTTGTTTTTCACTTTTACTTATAGTATTTGTTTCACTTTTCTTTGTTTTTTTTTTTTTTAAGATACTTTACGCCTAAAGGAGCATTTCATTATGCTGCAGACAAATGTTCATATAAAAAATCTTATAGAGGCAGCACTGATGAAATAGAATATAAATAATTGGGCCCCAATTGGGTGCCCCTCTCCCAACTCAGGAAGAAATAACTCAATAATTGATTTCCCTTCCAAAAAGGCAAAAGGCAATAAGAATATTAGCACCAACCTGGATAGTCTGTTTCTACAGAAGTTAAATTAGTGCTTGTGTCTTCTGACACTGGAGGTGGTGCATCAGCCGAAGGTACTTGTGATGCTGGAGGTGGTACATCAGCTGGAGGTCTCTACGAATAAAAACAGAAAAATATTAATGCCACAACTTTCTAAACCTAAGACATTATAAGGAAAAATGTCTCATATTAAAAATATATTTTTTGAGCTAAAGTTTGTTTGCTTTTGGTTAAAATTCACTTTGTAGAGTTCTTTTTAGAGAAAAGTCACTATTTCATAGGTATTTGCAAACTTCGATTTAAACTTGTATTTCTAAATAGTATTTGTTATTTCCATAGATGAATTATTACCACAAACATTGGCTCTGCCATATTTCTCTGCTGTAATGAAAAGCTAAAATGGAAATTTTTATGAAAGAGGTATGATGTCTTAGTCATGTTGACTATGACCCAATTATTCTATTTCATATAGATTTTCTCTGAATTTTGCCAGCTAAGTATTTCATTGACTTTTTCAGATTTCAGATCATCAACCAGGAGAGAAAACAACTCAGTTTGCCATATATGCCCAAACACAAGAAGATGATTTTTCCCCAATGTTTATAGTGCAGATAAGAGGAGTCATCGGATGTTCACGTCCTTACAAAATCTCTCATATTAGAGCAGACACTCTCAATTACTTTACTTTTATTAAGAAAGTATTATTTTGAGAAGATACATTTACATAGAGTAATGATGATCAATCATTGGTTTGGATGATTATAGAAGTCACCTAATAGAAGTAGTTAAAAAAGAAAAGGGCAAAGGAACTTCATGTAGATTTATTATCAATCATGTTACAGCCCGTGACTGCAGTGTTGTTACCCTCTAAACAAGCCTTTTTAAAGGAATATGTATAGTGGTTATGGTATGGAGATCACAAAGAGAGATCAAGGATAGAAGATGACTGACAACTCACCTGTACCATCTTCTGTGACTAGGTACTTAACGACCTAGGATTACAGTTCCAATTACAGCATTAGAAATACACACATAAATGTTGTGTCTTAAAGGTCTTAAACAGAAGGTTATAGTAAAGGTTATGTGATTTGGAATGCTGTGGCATATGAACCTAAAATTAGCTTTAGTGAAGGAAAAAAATCACTCCTGCTGGAAAATTCATGGGTGGAGTTTGAAAAATTTATTTCAGGAAATAGGAGAATGGAAAAAAACAAATGTTTTAAACATATGTAAATATATCATGTTATTTTAAATATTTTCATATACAAATTAAATAAACTAAATACTATGATTAGAAATTTGACTATTTCATCTAAATCCATCAAAATATATTAAATCAAGTTAGACAAAATCTTTGGATGGGGGCTGGCCCCATGGCCAAATGGTTAAGTTCATGTGCTCTGCTTTGGTGGCCTGGGGTTCGCCAGTTCGGATCCTGGGCACAGACCTAAGCACAGCTCATCAAGCCATGCTGTGGCAGCATCCCACATAGCAGAAATAGAATGACTTACAACTAGGATATACACCTAGGTATGGGGCTTTGAGTGGGGGGGGGAAGGAGGAAGATTGGCAACAAATGTTAGCTCAGGGCCAGTCTTCCTCACAAAAAATCAAGAAGCATACCTTTAAACAAACAAACAAGAAAAAACTTTGGAAGGTCTTTGACTGGAAAACGGGGATAGATTTATATTTGGGGTTGCTTTATAGGACAAATGCAAAAACAATTTCTACCAGAGTAACTCAGTGACTTCTATGTGTCCAGTTGAAAAGATGGAGTTTTAGGCAGTTTTGTTTCTCTTTAAGTTTAATTGAACGTAGAGGGATAAACCCTCCTCGAGCTGTTCACACCAGTACTTACAGCAAAATTCAAAAACTGAATCCTCACCTTTCTCAGCCTGCGACAAACATAAGCAAGAAGGAGGATAATTCCAATGATACCAGCCATCACCCCCAAAATAATGACTGTTATCACTATGGGAGAAAAAGAGAGCAGAAAATTACAAAAGTGTGAAATAAACTACCACATAGCATTTGAAAAATAAAAGGTAAAGTCAGCATAATACCAATTTGCCTTTTTGTAGAAAGCACGTTAATATGCTTTTATACATATTTTATCTTTTGAAAAATTAAGTTTTTCACAATAACCATGTGGGAAACTGGAAATTTGAGTGGTAAAGTTTTTTGTCCAAGGTCACACAACTAGTGACAGAACCAAGACCCAAAGGTTCCAACTCAAGTCCAGTGTTCTTTACAGGGCCTCATAGGTGACCTATGGATGAGAGCTAGGTGGACATTCTACCCCGATATGACAAAACCCACAAACTCATAGTTTCAAAGACATGAGAGAAAATAATGTCTCGAAGTATAAAAAGGTATTGGACAGATCATAGAATCAGAAGTCTGGAAGGAAACTGGTATGTATAAGCAATTTACAAATGGGGAAAAGAAATCTAATGAGTTTAAGTTCCTTATCCTATGTGATAAGTTACAACTTATCCTTATCCTATGTGATAAGATAACAACTAGTTAGAAGCAGAATCGTAACTATAATCCATGTCACCTATATTCTAAGCTTCTGTTCCTTCCAGAATATCCTTACACATAATCTATAACATAATCACTAAAAATATTTTTCAAATCTTTTCCATGTTGAGAATGAAACAAATTTTTAAGTTAGAGGTATTCTCCTATGTTCATAGGATATTTGTAGTGCTTCCAAATGAAGTAAATAGAACTGAAGGCAAGACCTATGGGGAAAAGGGCACATTCATTTGGCTAATTTATATTTAAAAGTCTTATTACTGATAAAAAAGTAAAAGTAGCTTTTCCTCCCACTGGTATTGCCCAGCCTTCCTGTCCACTTAGCTTTAATTTATAAGATTTAATTTATATTGATTCAGTTCTAGGATTCACTTTTCTTGTGTGAAGTATGGACACAGGCCAAGTGTGACAGGAGGCTTAGAAATACAGAAGAGTAAACGAGCACATAAACTAACTAAAGCCAGAGCTATAGCAGCATCTAAACAGGGAAGCGACAGTTAGAGAGGGTTTGGAGGATAGCCCCAAAGTGGTGGCGTTGGGCCAAAAGTGAATCAGGATTGAGACATGAATGGTCTATATTAATTCTTGAGATGGTGCTAGTTAATTACATGATTTTAAGCTCCTTGCTTTCTTTACAGTAGGGAAGAGAGAAGTTCAATTGTTTCATAAGCTTTTAAGAGAGTTTTCTCAAGTACTCATGGTTGGTTAGAAAGCTAAAAAACTTAATAGGAAAAATTATTAAGCAATGCATTGCTATTTCCAAAATGTTTACGAAAATAAGAAATGTCTATTTTAATTTTAAAGAGAGCAAATTTTGTTTGCCTTTACCATTTTGTGTGACTAACGTTGATTACATTTACTTTTTTGTTTTTAAAATTGACTTCTTATTTTCTTAGGCATTTGGAACTAGCAATACATAATTTAAAATGGAATTATTGTCATTCCATGTCAAATAATAACATACCTGGTTGTGAGAAATCATGAGCAAGTTGTAGTCCTATTGTTAAAGAGACAAAATTTCAAAATAAAGTCAGAATACATAGCACATAGCATGGGTCTAAATAATATCATTCTGGAATTAGATTGGTTAGTGGATTACTTTTTCTTAACTAAGTGTGGAGAGTTCTTGTTCAACTTTCAACAGTTAGCTAGTAAAACTTAGGAGGTAATGTGCCAGTCTTCACATTAGGTATTCCAATATCTACTGTCAACTGCTCAATAAGTTTCCATGGGTCAGAAATTAGCAAATCTAAAAGGTAGGGTATGAGAAAGTACTGGAAGAACCACCTATTGACTTCCACAAGAAGTAGTGCATTTTTTAAAAGAATGTAAAAATGGTGAGCAGAAAACAAACATATTCAATCATCATCCCACGTGGACTTCAGTCCAACCCAAAAAAGAGGTCATGTTGCTATCAATTTTCCAGATTTATGCCACAGCCACCATCTGAATCCAAATCGTTATTGTGTCTAGTCTGAGCTTTTGTCAACAGTACCACTAGATTCCCTGTCTGCAGAAGTTTCTAGTATGGCTGCCTTAACGCCTCCCCAGAGTCAGCTTCTCCCTTATCAGTCCACATCTTAAATTTTATTTTCTGATGTTTTCAAATGCCATTTTATGTCATGAAGCCCTCTTACTACTATAGCCACACTATTCTCTTGAATTTAATTATTACAAATAACATATTACACTACATTGTATCACATAGTCAAGGGCTTGGTTATATTTGGTCATTCTTTACAGTTATGTATAAAGGTTAGTTAGGGCTTGTCTGCTCTTTTTCTGTGTCAGTTAATAGCTGTGGTTGGTGTATGAGCTCTGGAATAAAACAGATGCAGCATCATGAGTACACCTCTTAGTAGCTGTGTGGCCTTGGGTAAGTTACGTAATTGCTTTGGGCTTTCGCATTCCCTCAGGTGAATGAAGATTATAATACCTGTCTCTTTGGGCTTCTGTGAGGATAAAATCAGATAATGCGTGAAAATGCTTAGTACCATGCTCCACCATGCTAGCCATTATTTATAGGATTCACAGGAGGTAGCAGTGTGTGTGTCTGTAGTTGACCCTTAAATGCTTTCTGGAGTGGCATCATCATGTTGGCTGCACATTAAAATCACTTTGAAAATAGATTGTTTAATTGGACCCGGAAGCCTAATAATTAGTTCCAAGCACTCAGTCTAATTTTCCTCCCTTAGTTTCTGTTCTTAAAATCCATTGTTTTCCTTCATCTCAGTACATTTTCTCAATGTTTCTATTAGCTAAAGATCCTGTAGCCACTCTAAGTCTTCTTTGAGGCTTTATTTTAAATCCTGAGTATCCTGCCTAAACCCCACCTACGAAAGACTCTCTCCCTTTCTACTTTCAATGAACTCTTGTAAAGTCATCTTCTTCCCAGAAAAATAACCAGAGAGATAATGAATGCTCCCTGACCTCCCTTATCTCAGCGCCCAGCTTGGCTTATAGTTTATTAGGCTCTCATGAAGTGCCAGGCTCTGAGCTAAGCAATTTTACATATATCTTATTTAATCTTTAAAGAAACACTGTGAGATCAGTATTAGAGGCCCCATTTTAAAATTAAGGGAACAGAGGCCCTTTGGGGCACTCAGAGTTCAGTTCTCTCAAGGTCAGCAGCTGGGACAAAACCAAGCCCAGGACTGAGTCCAGCGTGGTTTGACCACAAGCCCTCCTCACCACTGGACTATTGGATCCCTTTTATCTGGCCCACCATTTCATGGTCACACTGATCGTTTATGTGCCTTGCGAGATTGTTTTGATTTCTTTAACCCACAGCATTACTTCTGTGAGATATTCCAGAAGTGAGGATTCCTCTGGAGTAGGACATGTGTCTACTTAGCTTCCATTTCTCAGTCTTTGTCACAGTTTCCCCACAGTGACGGATGCCATTATATAGAGGTGCACCATAACAATGACACCAGAGCAACTATTTTAAAATATGAACAAACCTCCATCCTGTTCTCTAGTAAATGTCGGTGTAGCAGCAGAAGTGATAGTTGATAAGTCGCTTGTACCTGTACAAAAGAGAAGTTGAGAAAGAGATCAAGAATGAGGTGACCAAGTGGACCATAGAGCACATCACAAAAGACAAATTGATCCCTCGTCCCTCCCAGTGGCAGCTCCAGAATTTCTGCATGGCGGGGCATTACAGATGAAAAAGTGTGCCTTGATTTCCTCATTTGTAAAATGATAATACCTGCCTCAAAATGTGAGGACTAAATTAGTTTAATACATATATATGTGTGTTTCAGTTAGTGTAGTACTTGGCACATAATGAGCAGTACATATGCTTGGCTATTGTTGTTATCATTCTTTTAAAGGGGGAGATTGAAGCTTCATTTGCATAGCATTTTTACCTAATTTTGGAAGACTGTCCATGTTAAAGAAAGGTGGACACTCGTGGTGATTATACAAAGACTAAAGTTCTGACTGTGCCTCCCTGCCTCCATCCCCTAGTTACAATCCTACTTCCCAGGTAAAAATTAAAACAAACAAAGACGCTATTAAATTCAGTTTTCTTCTAGCTTGATAGGGGGTGAGTCAGTTCTAAGGTTCCCATCCATACTTCTTTTCTCTCTATCAAAAGTAGAATTTCAGAGTTGTAATAGAATTGTAGGAAATGCTGGCTCCAGTCTATGATTCCTGGCTGAGGGTCCAGATACCCAAGTAATATAATGAATTCTGGGTCATGGTTATTCTTTAACACAAATATATATGCACACAAATATGAATATAGGACTTGTATTCTCACACATCTTTTAAAAATCTCATTAAATACTTATAAATTATTGTTATTATTACTATCATTATTTTTTCTGAGGAAGATTCGCACTGAGCTAATATCTGTCACCAATCTTCCTCCTTTTGCCTGAGGAAGATTAGCCCTGAGTTAATTCTGTTGCCAATATTCCTCTATTTACTATGTGGGTCTCTGCCACAACATGACTGCTGACAAATGGTGTAGGTCTGCAGCTGGGAACGGAACCCAAGCCATCAAAGCAGAGTGCACTGAACTTAACTACCAGGCCATGGGGCCAGCCTCTATAAACTAATTTTTATAATTAAGCAATTATATTTTTATTTTAAAATAAGTTTTATAAATTAAAAATTTATAAATTATTTTATAAAGTTTTATAAATTAAATAAGATTTTTAATTACAAAAGTAATCTAGATTCAATGAGTTACATTTTGGAAACATAAGAAAGCACAAAGAACAATACAAAAATTATTTATCATCAAATTACCCAGAGATAGACACTTTAAACATTTTGGTGCCATCTGAACTTTTAGCTATTGCTTCTAAATATGGAATCATTGTTTTTAAATATGCATAAAAATGTACATAGTGTTTAAACTATATATGGACATATACCCTATGTTTCATATGCTCTTCTATGACAAGATTTTTAATGGTTACATAGTATTCCATGTATGAATGTACTGTAGTTTATTTATCAGTCTCCAACTTGAAGCATTCCTATTATTTTTACTCTTAAGAGAGTTATACATCATTCTGGGATAAACAGCAGTGCACTAAACTCCATGGATGTAGCTCCACCCATTCCTTTGAGGCATTCTAGTGAAGGAAATGGTGCCCAAGAACGACGGAGTCGAGGTTTGAAGGGCACCTGCAGACATTCCCCAGAGACAGTGTCACTTTGGCTCCTAAGCTAAATGCTCAAGGTTTTCTGGAGAATCCACAAAGAACTGCAAATGTCTTTCACATTTTTGGTCAGTCTACTCAAGGACAGAGTACAAAATCTGCCTATTTCTACCAGCTGTCAGCTAATCAATTTTCCCCCAAATTGCACAGGTAAGAATCATTGTCCCCAAACTGTCTACAATGTTTCCTGCTTTCTCATAAATCCTGCTTTCACCTTGTTCCTTGACTTGTCCTACAACCCAATTCATCACATGCATGTAAACAATTGTGACACAAATTAAGCAAATAGCATGACAAATAACTAATATTTCTAAGTTATTCTTCAACATTCAGGTGTCACGGTTTAAAGATAACATAAGAACAAATGTTTTTATTTATTTTTTTTTTGTGATTTTAAAAGTTTTATATCAAAATGAGTTGGCCCCTACAAATCAGTTCACTTTTCTCTTAGAAATGCACTAGAGGAATATTTTGGTTCATATACCTGCTTGGACCCCCAACAAATTCTCTGACACTGGAAAAGCATATAAAGAGTCATGTTTGTAGAACAAATGTTTTAAATAATTACCTGATGATTGGGATTTTGAGATTCAGCAAGTATTAATATTAAAATTATGGAAAGAAATATTTTCATGAAGAATCAATTAAAGTATGTAAAAATTACAAAAAAGGGTAACTAATGAACAAAATGATTTCTGTCTCTTAGTTAACGTTACATCTCCTTTACACCTTTCGATTCAGCGTAATTCTTTCACACTTAGGGCACACATTTGTAATCCCTCATGAATATGAAATGGGATCTTCTGAAACATAAAACTTGTTTTCAGGGCTCCAAGGTCCCAGAGTTAGCTCACTTTGAATCTCCTCAGCACTAGAATAGTGCTTCGTACATGATAGGTATTCAGTAAAATGCTAACAGTTATAAATGTTTGGCCAATTTCTTATGGAGAAACAACTAAGTGAGTTTCCGGATTGCATCTAAAATGAACATAACAATGAATAAAACAAGCCATACAGCAAAGAGGCATGCACAGCATGAGTGCAAGCATATTGAAAACGTGTGTTGATAGAAGAGCAACAAAATATTTTCAACATTTCAGTAAGAAGCACACACTTTTACAACCTGAAGAAAAAAATCTAAAAGTGAAAAACAAAACAAAACCGCACCAAACTTGAAGTTTTCAAGAGTTAAATGAGTTCAAATGTTAAAACTGCACCTGAGGACATCTAGTAGTTTTGACTGTGAAGACAAATATACCCCTCCTCCAGGTTTCCGAAGTGTTCAGCAGGACATCAGGGACTGCCTGAGCAGGATTTGTAGGGGTCAGTTGGGGAAGTGTGTTGAATCTGTAGGATGGTGCCTACTCCTCCTTGTGAACACTGCAAGATCCTGCATGACCCAGCCCCCCCCAGCTTCCCCTCCTCGTTGCTTGCCACTCTACCATGCTGGACATTTCTTGGTTCCTCAAAGGCACCACACTCTTCTCCATGCCAAGGCCTTTGTTCCTGCTCTTCCTCTTGCCTGAAATATACCCCCAACACCCATCTCACCTAACAAGCTTCTTTCCAGGTCTTAGAGTTCAATGCCATTTCCTTTGGAAGGTCTTCTCTGACCTCCTCTATTTAGACTTAGACTAAAAACTCCATGAAGTCCACAGCACTTGGCGTGGTATGGTAAAGTCTCAATGGAATTTTATGATTGACTATTTGGAATTAAGACATGTGTCCATGGGCCTTGATGGTCACTGGGAACCTTGGGTATATTTGTCCATTTGTTCATTCATTTACAAAAGAGTTTTAGCAAGCCTACTTTACGCTATGTACTAGGAATACAATGAATTAATAAATAATTCGTTGTCTTTCCATTCATGGAAATTCCAGCTTAGCAGAGAGAGATAGAAATTTAAGCTAAGTATAATACAGTTTTTTTAGGGTGATGGTGGAAGTCGGGGTACAAAGGAGATAAGTGGTCACTTCTACTTGAAGGAGTAGGATGTAGAAAGATCTCGCGGAAGTGTTCTTTGAACTCATCTTGAAAGAAGTTTAGGATTTTACTGGGGAGACTGTGTGGACAGTTAAGAACAGAGTCAGCAACGTCCTGGAATTTGAGACATCAAATTGGGAGAAGTTGGGAGAACAGCAGGGTGTCTATGTGGCTGCAGGGTAAGACGTGAGAAGCAGAGGAATAGAGAAATGGTGGACAAGGAAAAAGGCAGAAGAGGTAGTGAAGCCCCATGTGTTATGTGCCATAGTATGGAATTTTCACGTTATCTTGAAGGCAGCAGAAAGACAAAGGATTGGAACCAGATTCTCATTTTGGAAAGATCACTGTCAATAGCATGGAGGATGGTGTGGGAAAAGAGCATGCAGCATGCCCAGAACCCTTCATAGGAGGATTCCACCTTGTGATCATGAGTGGCCAAGATAAGCAGTCCCTTTACAAACAAGCCACTCCTCCTTGCAGAGGGTTCTTATCACTTTTCGGCATTGCGTTTCATGGAGGAGGTCTGTAATCTAAGAGCTTAAAGGGGCAAAAAATTATAGCAAGTTGTAAAGAGAATATGGCAAAGACCCTACAGTAGGATCTAACATCTTTTCAAACTGGCACTTTAATCTTTTAATTTTAAACAAAGTCAAAGAAGGAGAAAAAAGTGTTTTAAATGTATAAGCAAAGTACCTTTTTTTTGTATTAAAATGAGAAAACGTTTAGGGAGAGAACACTCATTAAAAAGTTTTGAACTTTATCAAGACAATTTTAACTCTCTAGCAAATAAGTAGACTTCTTTCTTTTCCAACAGCTACTCCTCAAAGAAAAGGAGCATTTAGTGGAAATTTATTCTGAAAGGAGAGGGTGAAGACCCAGGAGATAAAAACTACCCAAGTTTACAGAGCAGGTCACATGCTGACATTGGCCTTAACACTTGTCTGAAGTTGGTTGTAGTGCCTCTTTCCAGCTCAGAGCTACACGTCTTCCATCCTTGCTTCTAAGCAAGGCTCTAAACTATAGCTAAAATTCAGGAATATCTAACATTGAAGGCAACACATTGTTTAGAGGAACAAAGTCTTTGAGATAATTTCCAAAAATTGCATACTCTTTATCCAAGTCCCGTCTGTGAATGTGAATGTCATGTCCCATTTATGCCCTTACAAAAACAGATTGGTGGCCAAATTGACTTGAGTCTGAAACTTGCCACTTATGTTCTTAGAAATACCTGCTTTAATTCTCCAGATTTGTTGCTTTGATACAATTTTCTGTTGCAGTCACCTAAAACCATCAACACGGTAAGTAACTGAATACATAAATGCCCCAAGAACAACTTGATAAAATATATTTTTAAATATTTCTTTAA